GCCGCGCGCGCAGACCCTGATGCTAAAGACAAAGTTGCTGCCAACGGACTTGCTGCTGCTTTGTAGAAGACTAAGTCCTTTTCATTGTAAATATAGAGTAGTTTTGCTGCATTTTCTTTAAGTGTGATTTTCCAGCTTTCATAGGTCTAGTCATGTAACTTTGGTTTATTTTTTTTAAGCATTATTAAGGGGGACCAAGCAATCAAAACTTTCAAGCAAGCAAACAATTCTCTGTACTGGTGTCTCTCCCCCCCGACACCGTCTTGTTTTCTGTAATAGCTTTCATTCAATGCAATCAAGCTTTCTTTCATTCTCAATTCTCTTTTCTGCTCTCTTTCAATTGCTCATGACATTGGTTTTCCCGTACGGCACTGACAATCTAGTCTAGCGTACGGAGGGGACCTCAGTTGGCGGACAACAACCGTACTGACATCGGTTGCCTAGCCTTACGTCGCCCTTCCAAGGAACTTCAGGAAGGCGCCGCGTAACAGTACACATGTTTCAGTTGATTTAAATTCAACATTGAGAATAGTTGACTTTGTGCTTTATTTATGGCCATCGCAAAACATAAACGTAAAAGATTTTATTCCGAGGAATGAATCAAAATGTCTCAATATTATTAGGTGCCTCGAGTTAGACCTAGTTGAGGCTCGAGGCCTCATATACTTTAACATATTTAGTTTAGGCAGAGTTGTAACGTGTACATATTTCAAACACTGACATTTGATCAATGTAATTGTGTATCTCCGATCAAAGGGCGACCCTTGAAGAACTTATGGATAGAAAATTCAGCACTCTCCTATATTAGAATGTGATACAAATCAAAAAAGATAAAATAATTAAAAAATATATGCACCATAACCAATGTTTGGTTGTAATTGTAGTTTTCTATTAAATCTCGATTAATTGGATTTCACAATTAAAGTTTTAATGTGTTATAATTACCAGAATACCATATCAAATGGAAAACTATTTATTATTCATTTGAAGTGATATTTTTTTTCCTGAAAAATGAATGTTAATCAATATTATGGGTAGATCGATATAGAGATAGATTAGGTATAGAGCGTCATTAGTTACTCTTTAGTATTGTTTACCCGAAAAATGGATAGAGTTGAATTTATACGCAGTTCCGAGGATATGTGGCGTAACTTAACACAAAATGTAAGAATCAATAGAAATGTAAATATAGATTGCAGAGAACGCGAAATAGATAAGGTTGTCAGGAACAATGAATCTTAGGATTAAACAAATAGAATCAATGTAAGAAATCTGAAAGAACAATTCTTTACTGTAGAAGAATATAACACTTTTATTATAATGTAAGCCTCAGAAAAACTTGTCCTACAGAAATAGTAACCAAGCCCTTTTATAGTGGAGGGATTTGGCTCTAAGCATAATAAAATAAACATTCAGTGGGAGACCCATGATAAGTCAGCTTTTTCATAATTTCTGCCAAGATTCTCTCTAGTGGGATTGCAACGGCTTTTGTCTGCGAGCTCGATCTTGCTTAGAACCCTCGATTTTGGTTTGAGCTTGATTTCGACTCGAGCTCTTGATCTTGGTTCGAGCCCGATCTTGGCTCGAGCCCTCGAATTGATTCGAGGTCAATGTTGGTTGGTCTCTGGATTATCAGCATGATAGATCTACTCTGCATCATGGTTCGATTTTGATTTGAGCTGGATAATGATATCGAACTCGACACGGATCGGCCTCCCCAGGTTCGAGGTTAGTTTGTTCCACCTTTGGGATCTTACTTCGATAAATCATCGTTCGAACTCGATCGAACGTGCTAAGGCCGAAATCTATTTAGACCGTATACAAGTATTTTCAAAGAAAAATATTTGAAAAGCTTCTCCCCGAGGAAGAGTCCTTTAGTAATTAGTTTTTAACACTTAAGATTGACCCACTCACGCATGATTGTGTTTTGAATTTCATACAGGTTTATTTCTTATTATTTGCTTACCAAAAGTTGCCAGAAATAACTTCAGATATTCTGAATTTCTTGTTTTCACATAAAATTTTACAAAAGTCATATTTAGCATCGAAAACATGCAAATTTTCTCTCTAATAATGAATTACCGAAAGAACTCTCTCAAAATTATTAATTTTTAAATATTTAAAACTAATAATCATGGGACATTGAGTGAAGTTGATTATATATTTTCTTACTAATAATTATATGTTACTAAATATCGATATGTTTTGGTAATATCTCATGACCAAGTAATGAAAATATTTAGGAGACGTTCAACATTTGTAATCAGAAAATGCATGAAATCTTTGTAGATAATGATACAAATCATAAAATCTCTTAAGACTTTTCTTCTTAAAAACTATGGTATCCTTATCAATAGTTACACTTACAATGAGTTGTTTACCCGAAAAACGGATAGAGTTGAATTTGTACGTAGTTCTAAGGATATGTGGTATAGCTTAATATAAATCGTAAGGATAAATAGAGATATCAAATATGGATTGCTAAGAATGCAAAATAAACAAGGTTGGAAAGAAGATGATTTTTAGGACTAAGCAAGATGAATCAATTAATGAAGCTTTAAAGAATAACTCTCGAATTTAGGAGAATATGGTGCTTGAATTACAATGTAAGCAAAAGCTGCCCTCTACAGAAATGTAGCCATCCTCTTTATAGTGGAAGATCCTACTTTAGATATAATTAAAAATACATAGTAGAGAATCCATGATAAATCAGTTTTTTCTAATTTACGCCGAGATTCTCTCCTTTAGTGTGTTTGCAACGGCTCTTGTCTGTGAGCTCGAGCTCGATCGGCCTCAGTGCTGGTCGGTAGTGCTTCTAGAGCTCGATATGAACTCGGGATCAGGTGATGATTCGGACTCGGTCCCGGTTGGCCTCTGCCCCTTAAGCTCGAAATTATCTCATCATAGTTCGATTCGGACCCGAGCTCGATGATGACTTCAAACTAGGTATTTGACCTATACCTGGAATCCGAAGCTTGTTTATACCATCTTCGAAACCCATCTCGAAGTCTTTCTTCGATCCATTATGTTTCGACCTCGATCAATCGTATGAAGGCCGAAATCTATTTCGACCATATACAGATAGTCCCCTCATTTCTCGGGAAGGATGTGGTGAGAAACGATATGATTTCTCAACGGATCGATTGGATTATAAACTGACATTTACATTGGGCTCGATCATGACGCACATGATAGTTGTCCCGTCGATTTATTCTTTCAAGGCATTTAATACATGTCAGACGGTGGTCGGCCACCACTGATACTGAACCGCCATTGCTTTAATCTATAAATAGCCATTCCTTTTACCATTTACCACTTTTACATCTTCAATCTTCCAAATTTCCCAAGTTCTTTTTCATATCCTCTAAGTGTATACGCAAATCTGTGATTCCTCTTTGCAAAAGCCCTTCTTCAAAATTACCAAATCTTTGTTACTTTCTTCTATTCTCGACCTTTAAATTCGAAAATGGCTAAAACATCACAAACTATTCCTCAAAAAGAGAAAGCTTCATCTTCACAGTCTACCGCCGACGAAACACCGATAGAGCCACAGCTTGAGGAGTGCGTTCCTGGGGCGTGTGTTCTTACCTCTGATTTTAAAGTCGATAAAGGCTCATCGGTTCCGTGCCGATGTGAGCCAGTATCGAGGTACATGTGTTCGATAATCGAGAGGCACCTCAAACAGCTACAGAAAGATTTCAATTGGGAGAACAAAGAAATAATAATCCCTTCTTCTGACGAAGATATTACCACTTACGTGAAAGGGTTTTTAAGTGTGTATACTTACCCTTTCACGTTAGGTCCCCTCGACTCTATTATTATTGACTTCTGCTGACAATACCAAATAACCCTAGGCCAGGTCCATCTTTCTTTTTGGCGGATCGTTATTTTGATTCGATACTTTGTGAACAAAATCGAGGGGATGTCGTTCACCCTCGACCATCTCATCTGATTGTACCTTCCTCGCCTTTTTCGAGGAGGGTTAATAAAACTTTAGCATCGGGCTACCAAGGCTCTGTTCTCGAGCATTGACGAGGACAGAGATCGAGGCTGGATGGGTAGGTTCATTCGAGTAAGGACTTCGGACCTGATTTCGACTGAAAAGATGCCTTTTCCCAAGGAGTGGAATATGAAACGTAAGTGTAATTCTGCTGTTACTTCCTTCTATTTTTCCCTTTTATTTCTTTTCTCACCGATATTCCTCTTTTTGTGATGCAGTGGTTCCCTGGATGCCCGGAGCAGTTCCCGATCTCAAGAACTGGGTACGAGCTCTAGCTTCGACCTCCACATACGCCAAGTGCTCATGGCGTGATTTATCAAAGGGCCGATGGGAGGCCAAAAATCATTGTAAGCCCCTTTCTAGTACCTTTTGGTAGTTCGAACGAGATGCCTTCCATATACTTTAATGAAATTTTCCATATGTAGGTGTGGGCAAAGATGCGGTTTTAAGGCCCTCGTCCGTCGAGGAAGATGCTGCGGCCTTTGTCCCAAAGCCGGTGAAAGATACTAAAAGGAAAAGAGCCTCCGCTCCCGAAGATCCAAAACCAAAGAAAAGGACGGCTCGTAAGACGAACAAGAATACCATTCCTTTGACCGTAAAATCAGTTCTGCGTCTAAGGGATGAAGACAAAGAAGAAGAAGAAAATGATGGGTCCGCGCTGGTGGCCCGAATGAAGAAGACCACCGACGTTCCACAGGTAGCTGGATCGATGGTGGTTCATAAGGCTCCGCCTCGAACTGAGGATATATCGGAGAAGGATTCGGGCAGAGTCCCCGAGTTGTTGGAGATCAAAGATGCTTCCCATCGAAGCCAACGGATAGGGGATATGTCTGAAGGGGCTCTCCTCGAATCTCTTCGAACCGAAGAGAATGCTCTAAGTGATTCACTTGCGGCAGTAGCAATCGAAGACTCGCCCACCTTCCCTGCTTTTTCCGCAGGGGCGATTCGGAAGCCCAAGCTTTGGGGGCCCTCAAACTAGACATGCCTCATAATGGAGAGGATCCTTTTCGTGACCTGTTTACCGGTGTCGAGGACGTTGCCGGTACTAGTGATGCATCAGATCTTTTTCACGGGGTGCAGCAGGCTTTGAATCAGGTAAGCCTTAAATTATTTTGTAGGTATTACCTTTATGTTTGCTTTTCTTTTCTAACTTCGTTTCTTCTTTCTTTGTAGGCCGCGATAGTTCATCGAGAAGCATGTTCTCGGTCCTGAACCGACCTGCATCAATACGAGGCCGAGCTTCAACGGGTTACGGAGGAAAGGAACTCCCTAAAACTCCTCTTAGGGAAAAGGGGAGAGGAAATAAAAGAACTCCGAGTTGAGTTAGCTAAGGCTCACCAAGATCAGACCGATATGTCCGAGCAGGTAATAATACATTTAAAAGCCTATGGGCTCGATACCAGAATGACGGCTAATTCTTTGGTCTCACAGCTGCAGTAGAAAATTGAGATGATCGGAAAACTCCGTGAAGAAGTCGATGTGATAAAAGCGGAGTCTTTGATGCGGAAAGAAGGAATAGACCGCTTTGCTGCAGAGAAAGAAGCTGCTCGAGCCCAATTATCATCAGCCAAAAACCAACTTCAAAAAATGAAGGAGAAAGGCTTGGTCCAAGCAAGAAGAATAGAGGAGCTCGAGGCTCGGTTGGCCTTTGAACTTGCCAAGGCCGAATCTGACGCCGAAAAGGCAAAGGCCGATGCGGATACACTCGTGGCCGTCTATTGGGCCGATGCTGAAGCTGCCCAGGTCCAAGCAAGAGAGGTAGCCGAGACCGCCGATACTCGAGTATATTGGGTCGCTGAACTTGCTTAGTGTCGATCTCGAAGGGAGAGCCTCGAGGCTTCGATCTCACTGAAGAGATAAAAAGGGCTAAAGAACTCGAAGCCGATGTTGAAGCCTTGGCTTCCGATGATGACAATGATGATAATGATGACGATGATGGGAGTAAGAGCGGGTCCGAGAATGCGGGGGAGCCCGGTGGAGAAGAGACCGCTCTCGGAGATAACCAAGAAACTTAGCCCTTAGTTTCTATGTTGTAATCAATCATGTAAACAATCTTGTATATATATATAAATATATTTTTCTTTTACCGACTTTCTTCTGTTTTGTTTCCTGCTTTGTGAAGATTTTATACATGCCTTATAAATGTTTTCATAAGGATTTACGCAATTTGATCGAGTTTGGACTTCGTAGTCTTTATAACCGAGTGAGTAGCCCTTAGGCTTATTAGTTGAGTGAGCGATTCGAACTCGAAGTAAAATAGCCAGTAGGCATAATAGTCGAGTGAGTGCTTGCTCGAACTCGAAACAAAAGTAGCCCGTAGGCTTAGTAGTTAAGTGAATGATTCGAACTCGAAGTAATGTAGCCTATAGGCGTGGTAGTCGAGTGAGCACTTGCTCGAACTTGAAATAGAAGTAGCCCGTAGGCTTAGTAGTCGAGTGAATGATTTCAAACTCGAAGTAATGTAGCTCGTAGGCTTAATTGTCGAGTGAGTGATTTCGAACTCGAAGTAATGTAGCCCGTAGGCTTAATAGTCGAGTGAATGATTTCGAACTCGAAGTAATATAGCCCGTAGGCTTAATTGTCGAGTGAGTGATTTAGAACTCGAAGTAATGTAGCCCGTAGGCTTAATTGTCGAGTGAATGATTTCGAACTCGAAGTAATGTAGCTCGTAGGCTTAATTGTCGAGTGAGTGATTTCAAACTCGAAGTAATGTAGCCCGTAGGCTTAATAGTCGAGTGAGTGATTTCGAACTCGAAGTAATGTAGCCCATAGGCTTAATAGTCGAGTGAGTGATTTGGAACTCGAAGTAATGTAGCCCGTAGGCTTAATAGTCGAGTGAGTGATTTCGAACTCGAAGTAATGTAGCCTGTAGGCTTAATAGTCGAGTGAATGATTTCGAACTCGAAGTAATGTAGCCCGCAGGCTTAATTGTCGAGTGAATGATTTCGAACTCGAAGTAATGTAGCCCGCAGGCTTAATTGTCGAGTGAATGATTTCGAACTCGAAGTAATGTAGCCCGTAGGCTTAGTAGTCGAGTGAATGATTTCAAACTCGAAGTAATGTAGCC